GGCGGGAACGTGCCATGCCGTGAAAAACCCCCCAAAAAAAAAAAAAAAAGAGAGGCAACAAATCCTGACTCATGCTCTGGGGCCAAACCATGGGGGGAGACTGAGAAACTTATTTTAACCCTGATTTACTACAAGGCAGGAATGGCTCAGGAAATAAGACCTCCCTCTGCCAAATTGTCTTCAGAGGCATATATTTAATAGTAGGCAAAAACTCAGTTTTAATCATGAAACTAGATAAGAAATAACCACATTCACTGTTTTATTTCCAAAGGAGAGCACAGTGTCTGGTTCACAGTATATACTCCATAAACTATAGGATACATCCTAGGAATATTTTTGAGGACATTATTACATCATGTGTTGCTTCCCATATAAATCGCCTCCTGATAAATTTTACTTAGAGCAAAGTGTTAGGATGAGAATAAACTTCATTAAGAAATGAAGACAAAATGCTGACTTTTTCCTATTCCTAAAATGTTTCCCAGGGGGCCTGGGAGAGTTGAGCCTACAAACATTAAGAGGCCATTGATAGTGGGATGCTACATCCTGTCCCAGGCATGTTATGCTGTTAGTAAGCCCTTCTTATTCTTTTACTGATTTCTTTCAGGAATGGAGACGTGTGGTTTTCTAGAACCAATTACCAATCTAAGAATTTCAAACTCACCTATAACCTACAAGCCTCCACTTCCAGAAGTCCCACCTTTTGGGACTGGACCAATGTAAAAGATTCCCTATACTGATTGACAACTCTCTTGTCCTCAAATTGATGTAAAAGGAACCACTGTATCTCAGCTCCCTGAGAAACATGCTATAATTGGAACCAGCAGTTAGTGTAATGGCTATGTCGCTGGATTCCCACGTAGTCGACCACAGTTTGAGTCCCGGACCCAGTGGCTTAAACTCACACCGGGCGCATGTGCGTGCATGCCCAAGATCCCGGGAGGAGAATGGAGGAGAAGGGATTGCAGCGTGGCCATCCCCTCTGGAGGGTGATTTCTTGCTTTCTGTCTCTCTGTCTCTCTCTCTCTCTCTGCCTGGCGAGCGCACGCGCCCAATAGCAAAAACCTCTCCAAAAAAAAAAAGAAAAAAGAAAGAAACATGCTTGTCTTTCTTTGGGTTGGTCACTTATATTTGTGCTTAGAAATAAACCACATTATATACTCTGTCTACAGGGTTGGTTAATTTGGTTCACAGAAATGTGAAAATCATTTTCCTTCCTTTTTACCTTGGTTTCTGGAAAGCTTGGAACCTAATTTTAAATTTAACTGTAGCAAATATTAAGAGCCTAATATTAAATATAACTATAATGTTTTCTTCCAGGATATCACTCTGGATTAGAAAGGAGTAAAACTGGAGAAAGGACAGTTGGAAAGCTGTTCCAGCAATCCAGGTTTGCAACAGTTACAGGGTAGTTAACAATAGAAAGTGAGAGGGAAAAAGGAGTCAAGACATGTCTAAATTTCTAGCTTGGGCAACTTGCAGATGATACCATTCATCTGGGAAGAAAATTAATTTTGAATCACAGTTAGCAAGTTAATTTTGAACATGCACGTTATGAGTTATTTGTGAGGTATCTTAAGTAGGAATGCCCTTTACGTAGTTAAATTACGTTGGTTGGAGCTTAGAGTAGTTTGGACCAAGAATATGTATGTGGGACTCCTCTGCACATAGTTAATAGTTAAAACAATGAGAGTGAGTAAGATTACCAATTCAGTGGGCCCAGGAGTGTACTGAACTACAGTGCTGGAAACCACATGGCTGACTATGGGTTTGGGCCACTTCGTCAACACATGAAACACATCGGGTACATGTGTGCATGCCCAGATCATGACCATTTGGAGAACTGGAGGTGCGGCGTTGTAGCATGACAAGATCCTGTCAAGGGCCTTTCTCTCTGTCTCTCTGTGTTTTGCATGCATGCATTCTATTCTATCATAATTTAAAAGGGATTCCCAGAGTGAATGGTAGATTGGGAATAGAACAAAATCAGGCCTAGGATGAGACTCTGAGGAAGCACATCTGAAGGAGGAACAGAGGGGACCAGCAGATGACATAATAGTTATGTTGCTGGACTCCCACACAGTAGACAGTGGTCCCAGTCCCAGACCCAGAGACTTAAAACACACGCTGGGCATGTGTGCATGTGTGCTTAAAATCCTGAGAGGAGAATGGAGGAGAAGGGATTGCGGTGTGGTCATTCCCCCTGGGGGAATGATTTTTTGCTTTCTGTCTCTCTGTCTCTCTCTGTGTCTCTGGCAAGTGCACATCCCTATAACAAAAATCTAAATAAAAAGGGAGTGGGCAGAGATGGGCCAGTTGGTAGTGTTGTGGTTAAGGCAATTGAATCACACATGGCTGACTATGTGGTTCTAGTCCCAACCCAGTTGCTTGAAAAACACACTAGACGTGTGTGTGTGTGAGTGTGTGTGTGTGTGTACCCAAAATTACAGAAGGAAAACAAGGGAGAGGGATTGTGGCATGGCCACTGCTGTGGGAGTGCTTTTTCATTCTTTCTCTCTCTTTCTC